AATGAATTGCTATTAATTAACTGTTATTTATGTACCTCCCACCCATGGGGAAGCTGAAGTCAAAGTTTAAGGGCTAAAATGATAAATATCATTACCCATGGGGAAAGCTGAAGTCAAAGTTTAAGGGCTAATGATAAATATCATAATGCCTGGCATTTGAAATAATAGTTTGAAAAAAAACTTTTCATCGCAGGAACTTTCTTCTAGGATTTGCTTAATTTCATTCACAAAAAAACAAAAACATAGAGACCTACCGCAGTCGGAGTGGTGCTGGGGCATTCTGAAGAAAAAAAATAGATGATCGATAATCTCTTTAAAAATAGACAAATGAATATTAGAATAATGCGCATAAGTGACTACTCCGCACATACCCCTAAAATCGGTGAAGCCTGGATGCTGCTCGCTGTTGAGGGTTCAGCTATAAAGAAGGATATTGAAAAAGGAGCAAAATATGAATATTTAAAGTTCGATTTAACTGCCCTTTTTTATGAATTAATAAGTAAAGAGAGTACCAATATAAGATTAAAATAGTCCACGCTTTCATTAACTTAAGATTCTGTCTGCCATTAGCAACAAGGAAATAGCTAAGTGATTATTCCGAATACCCCCACATTGTTTAGAAGCCATCAATTTGCTAGGTTGACGGCACACTATGAAGTTCGAAATTAATTGCGCATGCAAATTGATGCAAAGATCTTCAAGAACTATCATGTAAAACTCAAGTCTGCAGACTCAGTTGCAGAAATCATAGGTGAGCAGTGATTTGAACTTCGTGTTACAAGTATAGCTTATCTTTGTTCCTCCTATCCCCCCCCCTTCATAAAGTGGTCAATAAGTAAGCTTATGACTTGAAACTGGGGTGTGCGATAGACTTACCTCCACGTGGTGCACCCTGGGCAACGTTTACTCATGCGGCAAAAGTCTATTGACTGGCAGTTGACTTCCCACTTCAAGTTATCATGATCCCACTGTATGTCATATTCGACCACTTCCACAGTACTCACCTCTCTTTTACATCTTTAAAACACTCTTCTGTTCCCTCCCTCCCCTCTCGGCTTTTTTCGATTTGACGTTCCTCTCCCTCTGTGAAGCCTGAAGTCAACTAAAGGGCTAATGATAACTATTATAAAGCCTGCCATTTGATATAAATAAATAAATGACTTGAAACTAATGAGAGAACGCCACATATCTTTCCATACCTCACCACATAGAAATGGTATTAAAATTAACAAACATAACTATATTACTTCTACGGCACTTCACTCAAATTCAAACTCACCGAGTTCGGTAGAGACCTGGAGTCGAGATTCATCAATAAAGGGTATAGTCGTGTTCGTGGTCTCCTCCGACTCACCATCGCGTATTGATGTCAATGTCTGCTTTCCATTTTCATCCTCACTTATCGAACCGAAGCTGTCTGAAGTGTCTTGACGCTCAAGCAAGTGTGAATGCGATGATCTGCTCAGAATAAATTCTATCAGTTTCAGAAAACGCTTCTCCATTTGAGGAGTGTGGACACGGAGCATAGGAAACCCATTTGAGGCTCTGGTTATGAGGTCTTCCAGAATGCACTTGTTTTCTTCAAACAGTTGAATACGGCTGGAGAGTGTTGGCCCTGCAAAGAAGGCAAATGTACACTTTGAATCAGACTGAAAATGGTGACGACAGCTGCACACACACACAATCGACTTACAAGCTGCTGCCGCATAAAGATTAGCTAATGCAAGAGGATTAACGATTCTCAGAATGGGGACTCCCTCGATGAATCTATTGTAGCCCGTCCTAAAGATGTTCTCGTTGATAATGCCACCCCATTCTGCTAGAGCTTTGGAACGTGGACTATTGCTGTTGAAGATGGTGGTGGTGGTGATATAGTAAGGTGCCTTGGCGGTGGAAGGCAGTAAATAGCCCAGAAGGTCGTCTAAGTTAACGCCAATTAGGCCGGCGATGCGTGAGAGAAGGGAGAGAGCATAGCGTCGAGATGTTGATTCGTCCAGTTTTGGAGGACTTGGTGGAGAAATTGGACCATCTATTATGTTCTCTTGACAGATTGCGTCGAAAGAACTATTGCTCATGTAGGAGAGTTGGCTCAGTTGTGCACGATTCACCTCGTACATTTCCTCAAAAGCACCTGGAAATTGAATAAATGGAGCTATATTACGAAAATCTTGCTTGGAAGACACATTTAGCACATGAAATTTTTAGTTAAAATACATTTTAATACAAACTCAAGCATTATTATGCATAATTAACAAATTATTGGATAATAATGATATTATAGTTACGGCTATAAGAGGGTGACTTTGTGCACGCCAAGTGAAAGTTAAGACGAAAAATAATTCAGATATATTATTTAAAATGTCGAAAAGGAGTTCAACAGTAAACTTCCCATGAAAATTGAAACTAATTTAACCCATTTATTAAGTTCAAAATTAAGCTTAGGTTGTCAAACAATTGTATTTAACCATGCTCAGACAAAATTAATGGTACACACTTGAAAATTCTTTGGTAAGGGCTTAATTCAGCCGTCTGTCTATATAAAAAAATTACCAATATACATTAAGTATATTCACGCATTTCCATAATAACATTATCTCATACGACATTTAAGAAACCAATCAAATCAGATAAAGATGTCCAAATACATTGAGTAATTAAGAGCAGTAAGTTGAAAACAACCTCTTTATGGTTCATAAATTATTTCCAATGCCAAATATACTACTGATTATACAAAGTACGATCAGGGATAAACTAGATAGCCCTCAAGAAGGCAAAGATAGAAAAGATTTCAATGGTAGAACATTCTCGACTGCAAATCGAGAGGTCCTTAATCCAGCCACCAGCATTCCCTAAATCTAACTTTTAATTCGATTTTAAACTGGACGTGAAAGTTGCAGATACACTCTTAGACACATCTTAGCATTTTGTTCTAAACAGCACTGCGTATAATTTACTAATTGAACACAATTTTGACCAATGAGAGAAAACTGGTGGCAAAAGATATCACAACTAGGAGTGGCAAGAGAAATGAGAATTGCATTCCTGGCCATGTCGTTCCTGGACACTCACGGGCTTCACTGATATGAGGAAACGAGACAGAAATTGAGGGAGGCTTTCCAAGACTAAGAATTCGGTATATTTAGCTAGTTGGTTGAACTTAAATAAAGGCCGAATTTTTATTAAGGGGGGGGGGAGGGGGGCACAGTTTCGTAAGACTTATTCTGAAAGGAGATTATGTCACCCAAACTACTTTTTTAAAAGTACAACCTTGGATTCCTCATATACTACAATTCACAACTAAGAGCAATCATACCAACGATCATATAAGCATAGTTTGCAGCATATCTATGTTGTCTAATGGACTGGCCACACGCATACAAATGCTGAATCGCCGAGGCTAGGCTTTGAAATCGTGACGCCTATCAAACGGCATAAAGTGCGCAAAATAAATAATGAAAATAATTCCAATATTAATAGCTATAATGACGAACCAACATGAGCAAAATGCATTAATTTATCAAGATCGATAAACCAGAAACAGCTCGCGAAACACCATGCACACTCCGATTACAATTAATCAGACCTACTAATATTAAATAAGTAGAAAGAGCAGTTTTAGTTGAATTATTCATAATAGCTAAGAGGTGGTTGAAGAGATCCAGTACAATGGTAGAGGAATGGACTGCAAATCAAAAGGTTCTCGATTCAAGTCAGAATTTATCAATTTTATGTATTAGTCACGATTCATGAAGGCTTTTACTAGCGAGAAGTGCCATAATCATTCGCATAAGTAAAAGGCTAAAATGGACCGTGGTTTCTAATAAGGAAGACAGTTCAGTTCTTGTGATATTTAATACAAGCTACGAGAATGCATATTTAAATAAAAAAAAACTATGAAATAAATTCGACGGTGATTTTAATTAACATGACTAACATATAAAAGTAGCCAAAGCAGGCAAAGAATATGGATAGTCAAAATGGTCCGGACCTTCTTAAGGAAAATTTGGTTCAGATTATGTTGAACCTGATGCACCTGGGTAAAGTATCCTCATACCATAAACCAGTATTTGACTTTTGACTTCAAACTACCATGACCCGACTGTATATCATATCCCACCACTTCCCAGTGCTCGCCTCACATTACCTTTTTCTCTACCTTTGTGTCTGTCTCTTTCACATCTGTGAGTCACTCTTCTGTTCCCATTTTTTCTCGACTTTTGTGGCTTTGATGTTCCTCACCTCAGTGAAGCCTGAAGTCAGCCAGATGGGCCAATGATAACTATAATAAATTCTACAATTTGATATAAATAATTGTTGAAATATGGTCAAGAAGAGGTCAAGAACATGGAAAGTCAATCTGGTCTGGGCATACTTCAGGAAAATTTGGTTCAGATTATGTTGAAATATGAGCATGGAAGTATAGCCAAGTGGATGCCTGGTTCAAGTCCGAGTGCACAATTACAAATATTGAATTAGCTTGTTTGAAAAGGCAAATCCTCATCAAATGAAGACATACCTAACCCGTGATGGTAGTTAGGAGATGACAATTTTAGGTTATAAACCGCAGATCCATCAAATAAGCAGGATAGACTCAAGACAGGACAGAACACGATCAACTGCTCCTACTAAAACTGACCCAATTTACTAAGGTCAAAATAACTCCTATCAATGTGTCGAACCGACGCCGCAGGACCTAATGGAATGCAATTCCAGTTTTCCCAGTTCTAGTAATTAAGTAAATTAAATTAGCTATTGGAATAATTTGAAACAAAAGAGCAACCTGTATTTGAAATTTTATCGAAAAAAAGAAATATTCCAAAGGAAGATAATCGTCGAGCTGACTAAAAATAGCTCCAGTTTTCCCAGTTCTAGTAATTAAGTAAGGAAATTAATCAACACAATACAAAAACAGAATTAATAAAGCGGTTACTTAAGGAATTGGTAAATCTCACCTTTAAATTAGCCATTGGAATAATTTGAAACAAAAGAGCAACCTGTATTTGAAATTTTATTGAAAAAAAAGAAATATTCCAAAGGAAGATAATCGTCGAGCTGACTAAAAATAGCGAACTACACAGGTGGTGTTTGGCTTAAGTAAAATGTGGCCGAGTTAATAAAAGTTTAATTGCGTCCACCTCACCCCCCACCCCCCCCCCCAATTTTCTTCCCCAAGTTCTATAATAAGGTTAAACAAATCAGTTTAACATCTAAACTAGGGGGAGGGGGGGGGGGTTTGAACACTTTGTTGCCATAGATATAAAAGTGACAACAGGTCAAGTGATAGCCCCCAGGGCAACAACTGAGGTGTTGAGATGTCAACACATTGACCTCAAAAATAAATTTTGATAATGTTGGGATAACAACGACAACAAATAAAAGCAATAAAACCAGGTCGTAAAATAAAGTTGTGAGTTGACATCCCCTCTGCCTGGTCTAGTGAGTTTTCCATCACAATGAAGTGGAAGTGGAAAGCTGAGAAAATGTTAAATACACATCGAAAACCCCAAAGTTAGAAGTATTTCTTGTGGAAGGGAAATGTTAAATAACATATTTTAAAGAGCGGGGTGTGCGATAGACTTACCTCCACGTGGTGCACCCTGGGCAACGTCTACTCATACGGCAAAAAAGTCTATTAACTGGCAGTTGACTTCTCACTTCAAACTACCATCACCTCACTCGATGCCATATTCGGCTATTTCCACAGTATTCACCTCACCTTTGTTCTTCCTTTGTGTCTGTCTCTTACATCTTTGAAACACTCTTCTGTTCCCCCCTCTCGACTTTTTTTCAATTTGATGTTCCTTCCCCTCTGTGAAGCCTGAAGTCAACTAAAGGGCTAACGATAACCATCAAGACCCCTGCCATTTGATACAAATAAATAAATAAATATTTTAAAGAGCTGTTATCAATTGATTGAGGAAATTAAAAAGTTTACCGAGTTATTTCATTATAGCAAAGAGAACTAGAGACTAATTTGGTCAAATGTAATGACGCAAGATTTGAGCGCGCAAGACCTCAAAATCCATATGGGAATACGTGAAAGGGCACAATTACTCACGCAATTAAAAGGCTAAGTTGAAATTTAGGTTATTGGTGTTAAGTAATTTAGACGACAGTTAATTTAACTTGATACGAATTGACCCAAAATAGACTTAACCTCAAAAATGCTGATGAGTTGTAATAAAACTGATAAAAACAGCCTGTGCAAGTTCCCGATTTTTAACCAACCCCCCCCCCCTCCACCAATTTTATTTAACAACAGAGGTGTTTCTATTTTATGGTATCTAAAACCCATTGAGAAAACGTCTAAGGAATTACTACTCATATCAAGACACGATCTTCATGATACATTAACACTGCAGCCTTAAATCGAATACAGAGAACACAGTTCAAAATGTAAATGCGAATAGAATTGCTCGTGGGGTATGCACCTGGATCAAAGAAAGAGTTCAATTATTCAATTTTCAGAAATCGCAACAAAATGTTGACCAAGAGATAATTTTAGAGAGAATAATAACATGCCAAAAAAATAAACCAAACACAGTCATTTAAATTATCATTAATTAAATGGATGGATTTTAGTACACAGTGAAAATTTATTAAGATTCGAAAAATAGCGAGTTTAAAAGGTTGGAATTAAAATAAAAAAATAGGATAGAAACAGCACAGAAGATTTCATAAAAAGCCTAAAATGAACCCAACTCAAAGGGGACTATTGAATAGTTATCATAATTTGAAGTCGGGACTTAAACAAGCCAAAAAAGGCGGACAATATCAACACGTGATAAATTTGTTATTCAAGCTATCTTAATAATAAAAGTTAGTTAAATAGTAAGTTGCATATTATTGCAAGTTCTAATAACTCAAAAAGTTACTTAAAGACATTGATGGAATAAAGAGGAAAGGAATAAGCAACAGAATATAAAAAATAATATTCCTGTTTAAAATCAATTTCAGAGACAATGATCGCGGTCGACAAGTAAAAAACACCATTATAAAACATTTCATAGACAATTTAGACAATATATATAATATTTAAAAAATTAAAAAGAGAAAAGAAGCAATTATAAAAAGGAGATCAGAAATTCCTTTGAAGTTTGTAAAAGAAACACATGTT